CGTGGCGGGACCCGCTGCTGTATTGATACGTCGCAACGGGGGCGTCAAGGCGTTTTCTCGCTTCGGTAAATACGGGATTGAATCGATAGACGACTATGTTGAGTCTTAATGCGATTCTTGTGCTTCAGGAGCTATTATTTCACAGCCGCTAGGTCTAGGCTTGAATAGGAAGCTTGCTGCAGTACCGTTGAAATTGTGGTGCCCTCAAACCTGCCGGACACTGCCTTCAATTTAACGGATTTACTATTTCATCTTCACTGCTGCCATTTCCTTTTAGATAATTCTCTGGACGCCCCAGCTCATGGCGGTGATTTCGTTGACGATGAAGATCGCGAGGCTGCATCAGCTGTAGAAGAGGCTGACGATGAAGGAAGAACAGACACTGGTAACAGCTCAAGTGGCGGAACTTCAGCAACGGTTCGCCATACCACCACAACATCGTCAATGGCAACGGGTAGTGGCGGCACATCATCACAACCTGCTGGTAGACTACGCATACCGATCGTGTACGGCGCGGACGATCAGTGCTCGAGCAGGTAAAACCTTGATTTCCATCACATGGTCGTTTTTTGGAATTTCGCTTTTCTCTTGTCCGTTTGCTTGGCCTGATTATCGTTTTATGTGCCATATTTTAGCAACGAAACGGGGACTTCCGGAAACTTTGCTATTCGACGTCGTCGTCCAATCGGGCTGTACCAAGCTGGTATGCGTTCGCTGACACATCCAGCGCCGAGCAGCGAGGCACCTCCAGAGCGTATGAGTGCTCGCATGCGAGGCCGACAACGGGCTGCACTTCGAGGACGAGGAAAACCCCGTGGCGCAAAACACTGAAGATTGTCAAAATGCGGTGTTATTTCAATTTTTATTATCTAATCTTGAAGTGATTGTTCTTGGATAAAAGATTTGGCGTCTTCAAAACCCTCTGCGGGCATGCGTCGAACGCACAGCTTCATAGTCAAAGAGGCTACGAATGCGTGCAAACCTTCATAATGACTTTTAGGGGACAGTCA